GGTTGGGCAGATTCATCAACAGTGTGTGGGATTCCAACATGATGGGAGGGGGATTGGGCAGATTCCTCATCAGCATGAGGGATTACAATACGAGGAGAGGGGGGCTGAGCATATTCCTCAGTAGCAAGTGGGATTACAACAGGAGGGGAGGGGGTTGGGCATATGCTTCCTCTAGTACTATGCCTGCATCAGCTCCGTCATTTTCATTTTTCTCAATTTTATTTTTTAATATCAACATTTGGTCTTGCAGACCCGAAACTCCAACAGTTATTGTATTAAGAGTCCCCTGGAATTCCTTGAATTCCTTGAACCATTTCTCATGTCCTTTGATAAGATTAATTATTGCTTCAAGGTTCATGTTCAAAACATTGTAAATTAGTTCCGGGGCAGTTTCCCCTTCGACCACTGGCCCCATATCAAATGATACAGGAGGTTCTGCTCTAACTTCAGGGTGAGGGTTTTGAAAGTGTATATCTGGCACTGAACTGGGTAGTCCCTCATCTGGATTGGCCAGAAAATTGAGTTCCTCATCTTTTAGATCCAAGAATTTATCATTGACCTGCAATTTATTTCAGGATACGAATACCTTAATCACTATTCAAGAAATAAATTATTTAACAATAGTGTAAATGACTGAAATGATCAGTGGTTAGCCTCTTAAGGGCCGCATCTATTTGTGAAGAGTTCAAGCTAATAGTTGTTGGCCATCTCAACGACCTCAGCATCGACAGGAGTTGCCACAAATGTATGCTCAAAAAACCAGAGCTGCATAAAAGATACTCAATATTCAGCATAAAAGATAATTAATAAACAGTGACGATATTCAACTTATACAATATTCTAACTGTAAGCAAATAAACATAACCAGTTATGTATCCAATAGGTTTGTTCCACAATAATTTGATGGCCACTGCATTAATTTGCTCTATAAGAAAATCATAGATTGCAGTCGGCCAATTAAATGAGGCAAAAGTCTGTATGTTCTCCCCAAAGTTGTTAAGTCCTTCGGGTACACTAAAATTGCTGGAGGGAAAAAAAAATTGATAACAAAAATTTTATAAACATTTTAGCAAAATGGGTAGAAGACCCCCCTCTTGAGAAGTCCATTAGATTATTTTTCATCTGCTGGGCATCTACGCCACATGATGGATGTTTACTCCACTTTGGCACTACATCTTTATTTGACATGCCAATAGAAGGGCAACTTCATTGGGCAACAGTCGTATCCCTCCAATTTTGAAAACCATTTTTTCGTGCTGTCAATATTGCAAAATTTGCAGTGTCATGAGATTCTCTTGAGGATAAGGAGGGAGCTCCAATAACTGTTCAACATTCATTGCTTTGAGCTTATTCGTCGTGTCCTCAAAAATTGAATGTCTAACATTATCCAGCGCATCTCTCACTACAGATGACCAACATTTACAGCTCATTGATCTTGGGTTCACGAACCTAAAAAAAGTACAATGCAACAAATATCAGGTGTTATTTTAATGGCATTTCAATGCCATTATTAAGGTGTTATTCAGGTGTGGTTGTATTATTATGGTATTATTACGGTATTATTATGATTATATTTTGGTGGTATTATTCACATAGTACAACAGTATTATTACTGTATTATTAAGGTTATATTTTGATGGTATTATTCTAGTACTATTATAATATTATTTCAGTTTTATTACGGTTATATTTCAGTTATATTACGGTATTATTATGAAATTATTACGGTTTTATTTTGCCTTTATTATTCAGTATTCATCAAGTTTTGTATATGAATACTGCATTTTAATTAAAGGAACTGCATTTTATATAAAAGAACTGTTGATAATATTTTCAAAGAAAAACTACCAAGTAAATAAAATATTATCTGAAGGAACCCTCTTCAATAACATTCTTCTTACGATTAGTGGCTTTTTTCTTCTTCTGTTCATCGGATTCCATTCTCGACGGCTCATCTTCGGTTTCCACTCTCAATGACTCTTCGACTTCCACTGTCATAGGGTTTTCATGAGTTTCCATCTCAGAAGGCTCGGCTTCCATCTTAGTAAGCTCAACTCTAGCGGTGAACTGGCGAATGTACTTCAACCGGCGAACGGAGACTCAAAACCCTAACCAGATGGCGAATAACAAAAGAGGTGGTGTGCCTGTCGGTTTTCCTCCGGAGTTTTCTTCGATAGGAGTTTCATATTCTGTTTCCAATCAATTTATTCGGAGCACTCGGGCGGGAGAAAAGCCGGGTCCCACGTCATAAAAGTATTTTTTAATTTCAAGAAACACTCGAATATTACTATAAAACAACCATACTAATACTCGACTTAATAAATACATAATAACACAATAATAAAACCACGATAACACCACAGTGCACAACAAAAATACCGCGGAGCTAATAAAATCAATGTCACCACAATAACACTTGAATAATACCAAAATACAACCATACTTATACATCATTGTGATGTTAATAACACTCCAATCACTCTGCAATAAAACAATAATACTACATAACGAAACATAAAACAATAATACTTGAATAATTCACTAATAATACCACGATATTACAGGCGGTCAAATAAACATATCGACACATAGAACAATAACCATCATTTCATACATCTATGATAGTTGAATAAACATCAATATTATGCGGCAAAAGGAAGGTCGATCCGTTAGTTTGTAGATTCAGCTCCAACTCTGTAGGTCAAATTTGCGGGCAACGAGATCAGCGTTATTTAACGACTCATTGAGTGCTTGGTTATAATCAGTGAAGAAGCAGAAAATTTCAAAATGTGTAATCTTCATTTTAGTGGAAGGGAGAGTTCCTTGATTGCTCGGAGGCAATGAGATTGAGCTATTTAGTAATTCAAATAATCTTGAAAGATAAGCAGTCGAAGAATTATTCACATCAATGATCGATTGTTGATTAAGAGGAAGTTTCAGACTCTTCACACATCTAAAGTTGATGAAGTTATATAATATGATGCCAATGTCGATGATGTAATTTGTATTGAGTAATTCAGGATAATGGGTTTGCTAAATTGTGGAAACAGACTAAAATGTTATTGCAAGTTATGATGTTTTGAACTTCTTAAGACTCATGTGACTGGTGTTCTAACTAGTTCACCTGACAAAACACCATTCACATGAGACTTAAGAAGTCCAGAACATCATAACTTGCAATAACATTTTAGTTTGTTTCCACAATTTAGCAAGCCCATTACGACTTACCCGATACTAGGGCTGTCAATTTGGCTCGTTGTTCGCGAACAGCTCGTGTTCGGCTCGTTAAGCAGCTCGTGTTCGGCTCGTTCGTTAAG